GGTATTGGGTCGCATTGCTCCAAGCCCGGATATACGTATCAAGTGAGACAAAGCTCGACGAATGCTGGTGTCTACGGTGACTTCGACAAACGCTTTGACGTGGAGAAATTGCGAATACTGCGTCCATTGGCTGTAATCAGCAGAAGAAAATCAGCATTCAAACAGAGTGAGGTACGGGTCGAACATGACGATACATACGTCGTTTTGTTATATTCATATTCTGTCTTGTCCTAGTCTTGTTCCTCATTTTCAGTTATATGTTTACATATTTTTTTACCAACCTACCGCCATCATCATCATTGACAACACTAAGTGAGAACCCTCGTATCTTACTACCGTACAACCATGTCAATGTATCTAATGATGGAAAGAAGAAAGAAACGAGACAGGAAGGAGACCTAGGGTTAGTCTACCACGAACGTCCGAGGTGCTCCAGACACTCAGTCAGACAATTTGAATGTAAACTGGCAGCACCAACGCCACTCTAACATCAGTCAGCCGCCATAACGTTTGGTGTCTCCAGCGAAGAACAAAGAGGTTTACGTAGACCCCATTCTGGAAAGTGAACAGTGCCAATAGCATCCAAACTTTTCGTACCTGACCTTAAGCTGCCACTTTGACGTGGTGGTCGGGCTTCAGTGCTGCAATGATCCCGCGGGCTACACTGGCTGGAACGTCGTTCCACAAGGTGCGACCATGCCAGGAAGGCCAAAGGGGAGCAGCCAGACCAACAGCAGCGAGACACCGCACTACGAGTAATCTTGCTACGAGGCAGTCTCGGGGTAAGGCCCTACTGTCCTCTGCGACAGGAGCGTGAAGGCCTCAAGGTGCTTTCCCCAGGCGACCAGCATGTCCATATTTATGGAAGCAGCGATGCTGCCTTCCCCCGAGGAAGGACGGGTTAGAAAAGGTCGGCCCCGAAAACCGCACATTCCGATCGCCCAACGGTTCTTACAGATGACAATGTTGATGATGAAACTTTTCGTAACACCCTCCATTCCCTTCCGCCATATCAAGTTCTGTACACCTCTAGGTTTCCGCCATTCCGAATCAGGCGCGGGAGTGACGACATACATCCTATATTGGCGTGGCACAGTGTTCTGCTGCCGCAGTATTTTGTCCAGAGATCTGACAATCGCTCGGGCTGTCGAGACAATCGATACTTTCGAACAAATAGGTTTGTAGCAATCAAAACCTGCTCGTGCACACAGAGATCACAGTGTATCCGGCTGTTGTATGGTCTTCACAACTCTATGGCAGAAAAACGTGGACAGTGCACAGACGGCAAGTTAGTGTTCTCGAAAAACCTCAATTAAGAAGTGCCTGCGCAGGATGGTCAGATCGAATTCCGGACACCGGAATTCCAAAACTAGCCAAAACCAAAGCAATCGAGTGCAACCGGCTACGCTGGGTAGGCCACGGTAACCGCATCCGAAAACGGCCTATTTACGGTGAGTGGCGCTCATCGTTCAGCTGCAACCCCCTCCGGTGCCTAGCCGCCATGCCACCTGACGGAAACACGAGGGCTGGGATCCTGCCAGGTTGCCCGAGCCTAGACAGGGAAAGTCGAGAGGCAGAGGTCGGGTTCGAACCACGGACCTTCCGGTCGCGCTCTAGCCGCTAGTCATGAATTCTGAGAACCAGAGATGTGTTTATTTAATCAGAGTGGATGTAAGTCAAATAGCTGGTACGATATGAGGACCAACTTGATAATGTTTAAAGACTGTATTTAATAAAAACGCAGTTATTTTGAAAATGAGTCTCACTACAACAATGGAATGTAACTTTAGATCAAAACCGTGGATAGGAAAAATTGCATACCATCGTTGAGTCACGCCAACATCAGTGCCGTACGACGAGTTCGTTGGGTCACCGTAGATCGCGTGTCCAATTACAAACAAGCCACCCTTTTTCACACTGTTCATGAACTGGACCAGCGAAGCCGAGGAACGCGGATTCGACACCAATAGCAACAGTTGCATTCGCCAGTATTTCACATGGTCTTTTCGTGCGTCCAGTAGGAGCAGGTACTTGCGGATCTGCGGAGAACCGAGGGACAACAATCAACAACATCATCATCATCATTGTCGACAGCATAACACCACTGTTCAACACTGATGCTTCGCTATGGTACAACCATGATTTAGTTGAAAACCAGATTGTGAAGTATAAAACTGGACGGGGAATTTAGTGCTAGGTCTTTTCGTGCGTCCAGTAGGAGCAGGTACTTGCGGATCTGCGGAGAACCGAGGGACAACAATCAACAACATCATCATCATCATTGTCGACAGCATAACACCACTGTTCAACACTGATGCTTCGCTATGGTACAACCATGATTTAGTTGAAAACCAGATTGTGAAGTATAAAACTGGACGGGGAAGGGATTTAGTGCTAGCCCACCACAATCATCCCGAGGTATTCACATCTCCAGACACCCATTCAAGGAATCTGGATAGAAACGGACATCGGTCAGCAGCGACTCCAACGAGGCGCAGCGGGGATTAGGCGGACCCTGTGACCCCGTTTGATCTGAACGGGATCGAGGTTAAAGTGCTGAAAACCAGTTTACGAATTCCCTATCCTCATCACCAGCTTTACATAGAATTCGAACCGAATAAGGGGGAGGGAGAAGAGTCTGAATACCGAGCGCAAGTGTTGCCTATAAAATTTCGAGTATACTTTTGGTTGCCTGAAAGTAATTAACAATATGGCTGTCTCACTAGGCGGTGTTTTGAACTGAAACTAGAATATCTGAATTCGAGCATCTGTTTTCAAATTGAATCTTAAAACTCGTTTTAACAAGTGTATAGTATCCTGCATTGATGGGCTTATGACATCGGCTGGGTGGTCGCGAATAAAAGCGTGTACTCTGGACCAAGCTAGGTAGGGTGACACATCTGGGACATTTCAAAGATGGGCGAGATAACTGCCAACGCCACGTAAAGGGAGCGACAGTCAACCAATCTAGACATACCGGTGAAAAGAAGAAGGCCTTCGCTGCGGAGTTATTTGTTAGAAAATGCCAACTGACCAGTTGCAGACTATTGGACGGGAAAGCAAAAACTCTTATATGCATCTTGTTTACAAAAACTGAACATCAACCTTCTCTTGAACGCGTCTTCCTGAAATTTCCTGGATATTCATTGACTGATGCTCAAATTCAAGCAAATGCTACAAAGCGACTCCACAAATTCTGCAACAAATCTCCCTTTTCAAGAGACACGAAGCGAATTTACAAGAAAACATACTACTCGCACGCCTCTCCATCAGTAGTATCACCGTTACAAACACTGATTGTTCAACAATCAATAAATCACAAAACCAGTGTAAAAACGTTCCGTCGAACCAGGATCCCTTTGACACAGATGCCCATACTTTATGTTGACATACTGAAATGCGGGTGGAATACATTCTCGTTGTAACAAGATATACGGGTTCTGTCAGAAAACGATAAGCTTCTATTCACCTGCTTAAGTTGAAGCAACTTGACGTCAGCTTAAGGCCGAAGATTCCGAGGTCAAGGGTGAACATGCGATAAAGCTAGCATAGTTCAGCCCTGAAAGAATATTCTATTTGAAAAGTCCCGATACGAACTTGAATCTACAGCCTTTGATGTGCTGAACCAAAAACCCTGCCTTCCAATGAGCGACCCACTGGTGATCAGCACACCTCTATCCGACATAAGGATGCTCAATCACACACAAGCCAGTTAGATCATGCTCCGGAAATACAAACGATCCACACTCTCAATAAGAGCACCTCATTTATAAAAGACGATCAACCAGCTCTGACCAGCGAAGCTGCGACGTCAAACTGTCAAACCTTCAACCTACCTGATGGAACAACAATGCCTGTCCAATATTGCCCCACGAATATTCAAGATGGCGTTGATGCAAAACAAACACCATGGTCGATAGAATGATCAAAGCGACTAGTGTATAGATTGGTTGAACCAGTAGACACATGATCAACGAGCCGACCATGCCGAGAAAGGCAGTGAACCAATTGAAGTAGCGAAAAGTGGGTCTGAAAAGCAAGAGGAAAGCAAGCTCGGTACAGCGAACATCAGACACAGCACAACTCATTAGCATGTGTATGCACATAAATCGAATAACATACCTGAAGTTTGCAGCCGAAGCTGTATCAAGAAGCATACAAGCCAGGTTGACAGTGGCATAGCTGAGCATGAATAAAATCGATACAAGAGGGGCGATGGCGTTCAGTCGACCAATGAGCAAAGTTACCTGTCAAACGAGAAAGTTGGAAAAGTGTCATGATCACGGAATAGGCAGTTCATAAAAATAGAATAGCAGGTCTGAGAAAAGAAGGCGCTTTTTACAGATGTGATACACTACTCATGAAGTCGCTGAAAACTCTTCGTCAGCCCACGACCGGTTTCATCATTCTTGGGGTCCAGCAGGTGGGCGCAGTCCCCTAGTTTCCGTCAACCTTATGTTTTGCTGGAACCTAAATCGCATGAAATTCGAATTCTACGGTAATCTACTTAACAGCACCGTAAAACCCGAGATTCAGCTGGGTTCCAGGTGAGTCTCTCGTGTATAAGGCTTTTTGTTTTTACCGAGGGGAAACACAAAATTTGGGCAAAAGTCAGTCCACTCAACTGTCTACTAGTTAACCGAACGTTTTATCTGAGAACAGCCATCGATCCACTTGAGGGACCTGGTTTTTCGTACGATTTTTGACATCGCTGCTAACCGAGTAGTGGACTGGTGGCCGAATGGTCTCCTCCAACACTGTCGTGGCTGAGAAAAACAAATTTTCCCGGAGAAACGGTCCTCTAGCGAGCAAAGTACATGTTCAAACAAGTGTACTCTTCTATAGAGGGCGACTAGCTTGTCCAAAACCACAAATGACAAGGTCATGATTTTGATTCACAAGTGCGACAAGTTGGCGAAAACTACCTTGGACATTCCAAGGTCCAAAACGTGATACCGGCTTTTGGTGGTCTACGAAATAGGCTCATCCACAACGTCTTTGATGACGCACATGCGAGGGGGAAGACCGAGATGGATCAGTGACTAAGTCGCGAAATTACTGACCGGAAAGTTCGTGATTCGGATCCGACCACTGCATCTCGCCTGCTCCTGTCTAGGCTTGGGCAACCTGGCAGCATCCCAGCCCTCGTGCTTCTTTTGGGTGGCACGGCAGGCACCGTAAGGGTGCTACAGCTGAGCGATTCAGATGCCGGAAGGATGCCAGAAGATGGCAGAAACGGGGTCGGTCCTGTTTATTCCCCTAATGAGCCTGAAACAGCATACCCACAATCTGTATTTCGAGCAAACATGTGGCTTATCAGATCTCCTACCAAGATCCATCCTTCAGATGTCCTCCAAATGAGGTTCGCTGGACTACACTTTTAGGCATTGTCAAATACAAAAGTTCAGCCACCAGTCGTTCACAGAGGCCTGTATTATAGACTCCAAACCACGAAATTGAGCAGATCACCTGTAGCGAACTACGGATCGGGGTACTACGATGCACCGTGATTTCCGTTCAGAGAAGGATCTGTTGAACCTTCTCTGAGTAAAACACTCGGCAGGAGAGGACATCCGAGCAGAAACCAACCAATAAAGTGTTCACAATGGACCTTTTTGGTCGATACAATTAAAAAGACGTTACGAAAATTGCCTCACCAGGCCAGGACAAACCTATTGCCTTACTGACCAGAAAAGCATGACAACGTCTCACAACAACAAATAATGAATAAAAAAGAGTATAAGGGTCTGAATTGGTAGTTCTCTCGGGCAGTGCCTCCACCGCAAAATTGAGCGGAATTGCTTACACCACTCCCGGATTTTCACGTCGACTGGACGTTACACTGAGTGGATAGTTTTGAATATTTTCCATTTTGATGAGCTCAGTTAGGCCACAAAAGTTACTAGTGTCGAGCAGTGATCAACAGACAAAATCATTACTAAAACATTGTGTCCTTTTAGTGTCATACGAGCGATGACATCAATGAGGAAATCCTCATCAGTTGGCTTGTGGGCTATGAGTCCACAAAGGCAACAACAATGCGGGCTACTCAGAACACGCAGCTGCTCGTACGAATCTAACGTTTCGACCAATTTTGTCCGTATGAAGCAATCGAAACATGACATGTACAGAGTGCAGTATTGACTGCAGAATGAAGAGATGATCTCCAAGATACTCAATTATTCAGCTTTATTTGTTCAAATGAACGAATTCCTTTTCGAGAGAGAGAGAGAGTTCCCCGCACGAGAAAACGTTCATGGTCAACGTTGTTTACTCCACTCTCTACTTCCGGTGTTTTGCACGAGGTTAGTTGGATTCAGAATGCACTTACGACACCAACGAAAAATGCTGTTGAAAGCGAATGTTATAGTCACGTGATGCATGGTGTGCACGACTGGCGAAGGTCACGACCTGACATCAACAATGTGCCGTTGGACATAATACGGTTAAAGCCCTAACATATATCAACTGAACAGATGAACATGTTAACTGGTAGATACAGCATTGCTCTAAGTGACCTTGATATACAGATGGTATGAAAAAATCGATTCAAGATTTCATTATCTGACCACATAAAATCCAATAGTCAAATTCCAGATGGCAGCCAAGTTTGTGCAAAGTTGCTTTTGCCAAGGTGTTCTCATTAGGCGGTTGGCTGAAGACGTTGTTGGACATTCATGTTTTGAAATGCCGCCACCTTAAAAGTCGCTTTCACTTAAATTTAGAATTTAGTCAGGGACGTCTGTATCAAGCTACATTGCGGGATGTTTTGTTGTATGGCTGTGAGACTTGGCCAGTTCGGGCAACGGAACTGAGATATCTTCAGGTGTTCGACAATCATTGTCTCAGAACCGTAGCTCGTGTGGGTTGGTGTCGGCGAATCCGTAACGAGGCAGTTAGAGAGCGTGTTTTCGGTTGTGTAACGGGTACTTCCATTGAAGAATGTGTGTCCAACACCAGAAGCCGCGTTGGTTGGGACATACGTTGCGTATGACTAGCCATCGTTCACCGAAGACAGTGCTGTTTTCCATGCCCAACTCAGAGTGGCGGAAGCAGAGAGGTGGCCAATCCTTGAGCTGGCAGAGAGGTATGAAAGAAATCACGAAACGTTTGGGTGCTGTCGGTGTTATTAGCCTTTCAGCACGGGGACCGCGTGTTCCTCACCTGCGTTTCGTTGGAGACGCTGCAAGATATGGCTGCCAACCGATGTCAGTGGCGTTCTTGTTGTCAGTTTCTATCCAGATTGCCTGAGTGAATGTCTGGAGGTGTAGGCACCTCGGAATGATTGTGTTAAGCTAGCACTAAGTCCCTTCCCCGTCCACCTTTATTCTTTTCTTTACAATAAGGCTTTCAAATAAGTCATGGTTGTACGGCAGTGAAGCATCGGTGTTGAACACCGATGTCATGCTGTCGCTGCTGCTGATGAATTCTGTCGAATCAGGTCTTATTCCCGGCACGCATCTCACGTACCGGTGAGGATAATCGAATCCGCAACACTCCGGAATACCATATCATACACCTGCGGCATCAAATCTACCAGCAACTCAACAGTAATTCGTCTTGGAGAAGAATAAATCCAACAAATCTGATGAATATTTGTTTTGGGAAAAAGGCACTCGGCGGCTACCAGATCACATGGTGTGAAGCGCGTGATTGAGGCATGTGTGGCACTGCGTCGTAGCTACTAGCCGAGGCATCGCGAGTTCAAATCATCCCGGAGTGATTGCGAGTTCTACGGCTTTATCGCACCGCGGACATCCTACTGAACAAACCTTCAAATCTCACGGGGGCAGCGTTAGCCAAAAACACCAAGTAGGAAGGTGAAACAAACCTCACATACCGGTTGTGGAACGTGAACAAAGAGGTAGACGGAAACACGGATATCGAATTTCTCTCAGCACAATACCGTCAAAATACAACAATGAATCGGCAGTGAACGATCAAAACAAACGACTTAGAGGTTTATTCGTCGGGGGGGGGAGGTAGTTGAGAATAAGTCATCGCTGAGGTAAATTCTCTTTGAGAGAAGGGTTTAAACCTCATGGGGCTGTAGTTGATGCATCATCCTCATCATCACTGTCAGCTATAATAACCGCGTACTCGTCGTACAGGGGTTGTAGCTGCCACAGTTTCGTTCACCGATGATTGGGGGGGGGGTAGGTAGCTGCGCATTGCAGGCGCGAGCTGGTAAATTGGTGCATAAATTCAGCACTGTCAGTGGGCTGTCAAGTGAGGGTGCGTTTGGAAAGGAGCTATGCACTGAAGGCAATAGCTTTGATTCACGAGCGCCATTGAGGGCGCGACTGGACCATGTCTGATAATGTCTCTAGCCATTGATGTGGCCCGTCTCGGGGTCCCCATCCAGGAAGACGGCAGTGACCAGCGCAGCTGAGTTTGCTGGTAATGGCTTTCATACTTCGCTACCAAGTCCTTGTTTGACCGCTTTTGGCTCTCTTACACTCTTCAAGTGTTTTTGCGAAAAGAGCCCTTCGGGGAAGTCAGTCGACTGGCATACGCAACACGTGGCCAAGCCAGCGTAACCTGTGCAGTGTGATCAGTTCATCTATCGAGGGTGAGTTATTTTTCCCGAATACCATTCGACGTACTTCAGCATTGCTGATCCGGTGTTCCCATCAGATTCGGGCAATGTTCCGAAGACATCGATGGTCAAACACTGAAAGTATTTTGACGTCCTCGGCGCGCAGCGGCCAGGTTTCTGATCCATATAGTAATATGGAGCGCACCGCAACATTGTAAACTCGACCCTTGACAGAGAAGCTGATGTCACGCCTACGCCACAGGTGAAGTAGGTTCGCCAAAGCTGCTCTGGCCTTCCCAATCCGGATGGAAATATCATCTTTCGCGAGACCACCGGGACCCTTTGAGATGTTCCACTAGATATCCCTAATCATCATGGAAATTCGAACGATTAACTGATGCGAGATTCAACCGCATGAGTCTTGAGTTTACAATGTGAAAATCCACGTTCGCAAGAATATCTGTTGAACATTGAGCTTGGCACTTTCGGACATAGGTCGGCCTAGGAACCTCTAACAAACAGTTCAAACAGTTTTTTACCATGCCTTCGAGGTAGCTCAGTATTGAGGTGCGAAATTGCTGACCGGAAAGTCCGCGGTGCTAACAGGCACCTCCCGTCTGGACTTAGCCACCCTGGTTCGTGCTTTCTTTGGTTGGCATGTCAGCTAGGCACTGAAAGTGTTACAGGTGAGCGATTACCACTTATTTA